CTTCGTCACCCTTTCCTCCTGAACTTTTCAACAGAAGGGAAGGACAACTTAACCATCACGAGTGGAATATTTGCACAGCTAACGTGCATATGATGTTAAAGTTAGGAAATATGGCATTGCTCAGTAGTAACACAGTTGCTTTGCATGCAAGTCCCTTCTTCTGCACAGGTAGAGCTGGGAAAAACTTTGAGAAAGCCAACTTAAAATTTAGACAACTCTAAATTTGATGAACCTATGGTCTTTCAGAGGGTGAAATTGCTTTGGCCCTAAATTACTGTATGTGAATATCAAAATGTGGAGAAGATACTTTTTGAATTGTGTTCATTGTGAGATCCTGAGGGCAGTTATCCATAACATTCTCTGTGAATAAATATAAAGGTTTATGCTAGTCAGAGGTATCCTTATTACACTTCTAGTGTAATGTTGAGCCACATTTGCCTCTGATGATACAGAGTCTGACAATTCTGTTACGAAGTCGGGAAAACTTATTATTGCTTCTACATTCCATTTTCCTTACTAGGGCTCAAGCCAATATTGAAAGTACTATGGATTCTATGGGCCCAGTAGGTTTCTCTAATATTTCAACTATGTATGTCAGATGCCAAATGGCTTTGGAAATTGAAAGGTGTTTGCAAAACATTGAGGTATCATCTATTTCAAGAAAAGTCAAATATCACCTGGGCATTTACAGATCCCCTGGCTGAATCTAACATATCTTTTGAGCAGTTTTGCCATCTTTGTACCATGAGTAATTTCTTCCCCAGCCCATTGGCTTGAAAGCTGTAGAACTGGCCAGCTGAATTACTACTGTGATAAATGGATGATTTGAACTAAATTGAGATGAGTGGGCTGATTTACAGTGAGATAAAAGCAACATCTGAAAGTAACCTTAATCATAGTCTGTGGGTGTTTCAGTGTTGGCAGCCTACCTGAAAGGACAGCTGTCCCAAATCCAAAAAGCCCACCTACTGTGTAGCAAAACTGGAGCCACAAGAAATCTTTATTCCTCCATTTCAGAATGACGTATGCTCATCTTGTAAGAGAGGTAAATCAGCTTGTGTTCAGTAATGATCTAAACTCAGAATTTGGATACTTTCATTTGGTGAGAGGAAAGCAGACTGTGGGTGTTTTCAATGGCTGTGAGACTGCAAAGTGTGAGGAAAGAGGCAGACAAATGTGTGGGTAGACAACATTTCCTTAATGCTCATGCTTCTTTGTTATTATTGACAGGAGCAGAAGATGACATTTCTATTATAAAAGAATTAGTAATGTTCAGTTGATTATGAGGGCCTTTTCAGATTAACATGGTGTGTGAGAGAAAAACATGCCTGATGAAAAACATGGGGGATATGTAGTTTCTACTATGTGCCTGTAACCAGATGCAAAAATAACTGCATTATCTTCTGGGATCTTCCAATGTTCTCTAGATGTCTCAATGGATGATGAAATCATTTCAAGTCTGGCTACAGCAGTGGTTCTCAACCTGTTGGACCCCAGGTGTTTTGGCCTACAATTCCCAGAAATCCCAGCCAGTTTACCAGCTGTTCGGATTTCTGGGAGTTGAAGGCCAAAACATCTGGGGACCAACAGATTGAGAACCACTGGGCTGCAGGGATAGAGAAAAAAACATTTTGAATCCAACCAGTATGGAATGGGCAGAGCTGCAGTGGCACTACTGTTAGTCTGTTCAGCGGGCTTTGTTTGTTGTGGAGAAAGAAAGGGAAACTCAACCTCTGGATTGATCAACAAAAGAACATACACTGGTTTAACGTTGACTTATGCCTGCATATGCCATTAACAGGATACAAGAGGAATTTATTGGCTAGAAGTATAGAGGGTTAAACAAAATGTGAATAAACTCTGCGGAGATCAGTGACAGAAGCCAAGATGGTGGGTAGCACTGGAGTGGGTTATTTATTTGTCGTGTCAGGACAACCGGTCAAATTATATTACATTTCTAACAGAACAAAGCAAACAAACAGACAAAATACACATTTGTGAGTTTGCTAGTTGATTAAATGTCCTTTGACCAGTATCTGGCCACTTGGAGTGATTCTGGTGTTGCTGCAAGAAGGTCCTCCATTGTGCATGTGGCAGGGCTCAGGTTGCATTGCAGCAGGTGGTCAGTGGTTTGCTCCTCTCCACACTCGCATGTCGAGGATTCCACTTTGTAGCCCCATTTCTGAAGGTTGGCTCTGCATCTCGTGGTGCCAGAGCGCAGTCTGTTCAGCGCCTTCCAAGTTGCCCAGTCCTCTGTGTGCCCAGGGGGGAGTCTCTCATTTGGTATCAGCCATTGGTTGAGGTTCTGGGTTTGAGCCTGCCACTTTTGGACTCTCGCTTGCTGAGGTGTTCCAGCGAGTGTCTCTGTAGATCTTAGAAAACTATTTCTAGATTTAAGTCGTTGACGTACTGGCTGATACCCAAACAGGGGATGAGCTGGAGATGTCTCTGCCTTGGTCCTTTCACTATTGGCTGCTACTTCCGGCGGATGTCAGGTGGTGCAATACCGGCTAAGCAGTGTAATTTCTCCAGTGGTGTAGGGCGCAGACACCCCGTGATAATGCAGCATGTCTCATTAAGAGCCACATCCACTGTTTTAGTGTGGTGAGATGTGTTCCACACTGGGCATGCATACTCAGCAGCAGAGTAGCACAGCGCAAGGGCAGATGTCTTCACTGTGGGTTGAGGGGTAACTGTACTGTGGGTGATGGGTTGTCCATGTATGTGTATTTGTATATTTCTGCAATATATATTGTCAATGTATTACATTTTTATTTTTTATTTTTTAAAAAGAAAACAGGATACAAGGCTGCTAGGAAGTCTTAGTACTTACGTATGCAGAGCAATGTAGTCTTTTTGTATCTACAAGCTGCCTTTACTGTAAGCCTCCTAAGGCAGCTTACATTAACTCAACATTGTAATTATTTGAACAATAATCATTCACTAAGGTCTCCTTTAGGGATATAGTGAGATAATTTTGACTGAGACAAGCAGAGACAAAATCTGGAGGGCAGAAAGGTTTGAGCATCTGTACTGTAACTATAAAAGAAGTTTCTATGAGGGGAAAGTTAATGCAAGTTAATGCTTTTTTAAAAATGCTGTTAAGTTGCATAAAAACACATAAGTGTAAAATAGAATAATTTTCACATGAAAAATATGTGTGTAAACTAAATAGCATTGATTAGAAAGTAAATACATAATGTACAAGTCATCCTGTAATAAAGATTTGAAGCCTTAATAAAAGTGTATTTTATTTCAATTGTATTACTTACATATTACTGTTTAAGCCATCGAATATTTGCCTTTTTATGTCTGTGAGCCATCCCAAGTCCCCTCGAGAAGATGGGGCAGGATATAAATAAAGTGTTGTTGTTGTTGCTGCTGCTGTGGTAGAGAAACCACACAGTGGTTATGTGCCCAAGTGGGTTTCTTAGTTCCTTAGTTGGGTCAGAAGTGGGGCTTATCAACTGGCAAGCAGGTCATCTGAATCTAAATGCAAAGCCAGCACTGTACAGCTATAACAAAAATTGTCTCTTACAAATCTCCTGTCAAGAGTTGTGTGGTTGCTCTCTCCACTTGTGCCAGCCTCTTGCTACTACTGCGTGCATGGACCTGAAGCAGAAGGGCATACAGAAAAACTGCAAGAAAGTCTGACCAGAAAAAAACACCACTATCATCTTACCCACAGGGAACTACAGGTTCCTCAGAACCTGTTCAAATCAGCAGTTCTGACCTGATCTAGGTTATAGCTATGAGGAATTATACCAATAGTAGTTTCAGGAGGAAGCTAAATGTGGCATTCAGTATACTACAGAGTATTCTGTGTTTTGTCAGTCCATTACATTTTTTTCAGCTGACTTTTACAAAAGTACAGAACTCCCTGGATTTTGCATCTGTCATTGAAACAAAATTTTAAAAATCCTCACTTTTTTAAAAAATAGGCATGCCAGCTGAAATGTCATGGACTTCCCCATTCTGCTTCACAAGGGGATTCCCAAGAACATTAAAAGCAGGAGGAGGATGCTTGATTGATGCTTCTTGAAAAAGCAAGTTAAGTTAACAAAGGACACTGGAAACATTGCAGAATATACCATTACTTGTGCAGAACAACAGTTGGTTTTCACATCCATATGCTTCATGACTTGATTCAACTACATATACCAATTTAAAATATGATTAATAAATTACTCTTGACCAAAAAATGGCATGCATGAGTCTGCTTAAAGAGGAACGGCATAATTCTCTTTCTACCATCGGTACAGATTTATCTGCATGAGAGATGGAATTATGCAGCCCTCCAGATATTTGTGGATTTCCTCTCCCATCAGCCCTATCGAGAACAGCCAATGGCAAAGCACGAACAACAATTATTTATTTTTTTCTCCCCAAAGTTAGTTGGTATGTCCTGTACCTTAAATTGATGGGGCAAGTTAGTATTCATTTAGTTATTCTTAAGTAACTTTATCCAAGTTTTCTGGAATTGGTGCATGGACAAATAGGTTCACATCTATTCAGGGGTGTACTGAGGGGCGGTAAGTAGCATCATGTCCCTTTTATATGTCCCTTTCTGTTCTAACCTTCACTGGCAATTTTTATAAAGTAATATCACTTTTAAAAGTTTCCCAGAAAAATAAATGTATGTGGTAAGAAAAACTGAAGCCTCTATCGTTCCTTTGTTTTTGTTGATGTGATTCAAACATTTGTTTTTCATGCTCACAAAGAACTTTGGACAGCTTGTCAGAATTGTACAGTGTTTCAGTCTTACTTTGTGTTCCAAATGGTTTTACATCACATTTTAGTGATCTGTCAGCTATGCAACAGATGAATGAAATGAATTGTCAGATTTCACTAGTAACTAAATTGAAAACCAAACTTAATTTTTTCAAATCTGTAGTTCTCAGATGCCATTGAGGTAATGGATGTATGTGATAAAACAGCACTAACAGCTGAAGACCACTTATTGAGTATCACCCTCTTAACAGGTTCTCATTTCCTTGCAGGAACTTTTTACACCAGAATGCAAATTTAAGGAGTCTGTTTTTGAAAATTATTATGTAATCTACTCATCAATGCTCTACAGACAACAAGAATCAGGTAGGGCCTGGTTCTTGGGGCTCAATAAAGAAGGGCAAGTCATGAAAGGGAACAGAGTGAAGAAAACAAAACCAGCAGCTCATTTTCTACCGAAGCCATTGGAAGGTAAGCTTTAGGTTGGCACAGCTACATATACTGAAACATTAACACCATTCCTTCATCTTGAAATAATAGCAGCTAGTAATTGTCTTGTTACTATGGTGGTGATTTCATTCTGAGTTTTAATTGAACTTTAAAGGAACCATCCAAGGAACTAAGCCTGTTTTTCAATTGAATTCAACTTCTCGGCTCACTCTAAAGGTCAGATGAAATCCCAGGATTCATCATGCTACTGACATGAAAGCCTCCAGTCACCATTGCCCTTAAGACTCTGTACAGAGTGGGTGGCTTTAGTGGTATGCCTTTTACCAGTGCCAGTTAACTTGCTGGCTGAGGGATAGTGAATGTTATAGTGCTTATTCTCTGTGTTGTAAGTCCTCAAAATGAACTCATTTGAAGCGTGGTCATTGTGATTCATTAGGAAAGACTATAATGCTTGGAAAAGGGAAATACAGTATGAGACTAGGAAAACCACATCACAAGTGAATTGATCCAGTCAATGAAGCCCCAGCCCTGATCGTTCAAAGCAGTTGATGACCAGAGATCCTTGAGGTCTCTCATTTGTATGGTCATTTTAAGTCAAAGTCATTTTGATATTAAATAATGAGTGCAAAAAGGTAACTTTTCCAATATGTTATGATGTTTCTCTGATTTTTGTGCAATCCCAAGTCCCACAGCAATATTAAACGATTTCTTTCTAAGTCTAAGGAGTTCTTTTGTGCCTTATTTTACTCTTTCTGAAAAGAAATCCTTTTTTGTTGAAACAGTCTGGACATGAGCTTGGCAAATTATGCTGAGAGCTAATCCCAGCCGCTCAAATAGAGCACTAAATTAGCATGATGGCTAAATTTTCTGAGCAGGAAAATTACAAGTTCCTGGCTGTAACATCATCCTCATATACTCCTTTGGTGAATTCCAACAAGCCATCCCTTTCCCAAATCTCAGCTGTTGTCGGGATTTCTTAGGTGCTGCATGAGAAGCTTTGGCTCAATAGCACTCAATGAAATGCTTAGTATTCTGAAGGAAAAGTCAGACTCCTGAGTTGAAGTGTGAAAATATTACTAACCAGGTAGGAAGAACTATATTATGGATTTTTTTAACATTCCACTTTAGAAAACAAAGAGCCTGCTAAAGTCAAGAGTCTATTGGGTCAGCTGAACACTGCACTCACTGATGTCAAGCGGATTTTAGATTTCAAAATCCACTTCAGAATCCACAGCAGCAAAGCACTGGTTGGATATTCTGAATACAAAATTCTGGCAATCTCAGAAAGCCAACTCCAGATGCCAGCTTCTGCTGTTCCTATGTTTCCACGTATAAAAATTAGCATTACAAAAATGAGTTTTGTGATCTGTTCACCTCCTCCACCATTACAGATTTGTCACAGTTTAGCAATTTCCTCCCAAACCTAAATTGTGGTTAACTGTGTTGAAAAGCTGCTCTAATCCTTTGTTCAACATTGGCTTGCTTCAAAAATACCATGTTTAAAGTTATTGACATATTTGAGAGTTGGGTAACACATCAAGGCATGGTTATATCAAAACTAGAAGCAAATACTCAGAACTCCTTGCAGCCATGGTGGTGACAGAGTGAGGAGAGTATTAACCCAGTGAGGAGACAAGATTAATTCTTAAATATAGATTAGCATTACATCGGAACCTGCCCAATATACCTTTCTAAATAAGTATTCGGATTACTCATCACATGGATAGATATTCCTCCATGCAGATGTACTCTGTGTGGTTTTACAGTGTTCAGTTTCATGTGAAACATGCTGTTCTTTGAATCTATGTTATATTTGCTAGTAGAAACATTAGCAGCGATATCAAAATAAATATGTGCAATGCCAATACAGAAGTAAAAATATTGAGGCAGGAAATGAGAGGAGCACAGGATAGAATATACCTGTGTTATGAAACAAGGGTCATTTGTAGAGAAATCTCCACTATGACTCCCTTGTACCTTACTTTCATCTCCTCTCTTAATACACACCTCGAATAGGAAGAGCCTGGGGAGTTATTTTAGGTGGTGACAACCCCCCATCCATCCCAAAAAAGGATTTTGGGAATTATAGTAAAAAAAATCTTCCCCAAGCTTTAGGCAACACAAGGTGAATAATGCCAAGGAATGCCACATTGCTAACAGTGCTATGAAGGTTGGAGAGGAATAGAGAAGCATGCACAGATTTGCAGATCTGTAACTTTAGGTTACAAGTCCATTACTGCAATACTGATTGCCAGCCATAGTGTTATGTATTCCAGCAATTCAGGTTGAAGTAATGATAATACTGTTGACCACAAACAAATGTGAATATTTTAAATTTTGGACGGATGCAGTTTGCTATGACATTAATAGGAGTTAACTGCATAATAGTTGTCTTACAAATGTTTCACACTTGCCATCAAGAGGATTCTAACAAGAGAGGTCTAACTATTGAATCTTGAAAGAGTTGCTTGATAATCCTTTGCTGATATGTTTTTAAAGCCCCTTTTCTCCCTATTTCTCTTTTTTTCTTCCCTTGAAGTTGCCATGTATCGGGAACCATCTTTGCATGATGTTGGAGAAACAGTGCCAAAGGCTGGGGTGACTCCGAGTAAAAGCACAAGTGCATCGGCAATAATGAATGGCGGCAAACCAGTTAACAAGAGTAAGACGACATAGCCAGATCTCCATGGGTGTTGTGACTTACCGAGCTCTATTACATATGGCTGAGCACTTTACCCTTGCAAGACTGTCTCACTCTGGTGTCTGCGGATCAGCTGGAGGCAAGCCGACGCTTGCTCTTCACTCGTTCTGAACAAGTTTGTTGCAAGCGGATAAATCTCAGCCTGTAACTCCTCCCACAGCAAAGAAGACACCTGGATAACCAGCTGAACTCAGACCATGGAATGCCCTACCAGATATGGAATGCCTTTTTAATATCTTTTCTGTGACTGTGACACCTCATGTGAATGACATACTTCACAAGTACACTTGATACCCTGCCTGCTGACAGTTACCCATAATCCCCCTTTTGAGTCCAGGAAACCCATATGTTTTAAGTTCAATTTTGTAGCACACAAAACAATAACAAGTAATTTCTAGATAGATGCTGTAAACCTGTGCTATTATCGATTTTCTCTTCTTCCCCCTTTTTTACGAGGCTGCTCGCTCCGCTGTCTGTGTGACTCCTTTGCAGGGATTGTGTTTCTCTCAGATTTAAATGTTGATGGTGGCTTAGTTTTGAAAAGCAATCAGGGAATCAGGGGAGCCTTCAAAAACCTTATTAGGAATTATATCTATCAAAGGATAGGATCGTCTCAGAGTTCCAAATGGGGGTTCAACATGGGTACACTGAGGGTAGCGTTACTGAGGAGGGAAAAGCGTCAAACATGGTCTGACAACAATCTCTCGAGGCCACTGTTTGACATCTCCTGATAGTTTCTTTGTGTGTGTGTGTTTTATACATATCACAGGCTTACTGGTAATGGTAACATTTGCCTTCCCAGCGAGCAAGACCCACACGTTTTTGGGAAAGTGGGTCCAAAGAACTCTGTAGGCCTTGTAGGCCTGAATTAAGGCTCATTTTTCATCTACTAGTCATTATTTGAAAGTTTAAAAAATCACATTAAAACGAATGAGAATTGCGCTACCTAAGTCTGTTTCAAAACAATAGAATCCTTTTTCCTGTTTTTAAAGAATGGAACGTAATCCCATCCTTATTTTTGGCTGTAGTCCACTCTCTTATCCAGCAAAGCATGGGCCAGGAAGTTATTGTGTTCTTTTTTGCAGCACCAATGCAAAGGGTAGTTACAAATTATACTTTATTTTTTTCAGTGTATTAAAAAAGGGATGTTTTCAACAGGACATATTTAAAGAGTTCCTTTGTGTTTCTTTTTAAAAAGCATGCAGAGTTCAATCGCTATGTATTATTTCACCAGTACCCCACTACCACATATTTCCAGTTCAGCTTCTTAGGATATTATGCCCTCCAAATTGCTAGGTTTATGGTGCCTTGCCTTGATATCAATATTCTTTTCATTGTTACTACACAAACCTAGGAAAATTCTAAGATGAGTACATGGCCTAGAACTTTTCTCATCCAATTGCCTAATAAAAGGAAGATGGTTGCTATTGCCTTGACACCAGAGTTGACGCCAATGAGAACAGAAAGGAGAATGGCTACAAGGGGATTGAAGCTGTAAAAAACATGAAATGGGTAAAGAACCTGAAAGTGCTTTTTTTAATGTATGTGATTAAAAACCGGAGGCATGACAAGAACCAAAATGTACCTCAGTTCTGGAAAACTATGTATGAGACTACTAGGTGTTCCTTTCCATGTTGGCTTCTCATGTCATTTTTGAATCTGTACTTTCAGAATGGCTTCTAAATATTGATTTGTGTTTGAAATCCATTGTGGTCTCTTCAGATGTCCAGTCTTTTTAAAGGGTTACCAACTGACCATTGATTAGCTTTTAATGCTTACAAAATTTTCATATGAGCTTCAGTTTTAATAAACACTTCATATAAGTCCAGTAAATTATACAGTGGGCTTCTTAATTAAGAATATACAAAACAAATGATTTGACCATTTCATTTTTGTTTTATTTCCATTTAAGAGGAGAGACTGTTTAAAGTTGGATTGTTTCAACCAAATGAACAAAGCATTTTAAAAGCTAATCAATTTCCAAGCATGTAATAAGACTCTGACCCAACTCACCCTGAAAAGAGAAAGAACCAAGGAATCAGAGAAGCATTGTAAAATGGTGAAAATATGTGCATAAAATTAACCCCCTTCTCCCAGTATCTTATCAAAATGGCATTTCCTCAAGGATTAGATTGTAAAGAAGGGCCTTTCCATGTGTCACTCAACGAGGAGGACCTTCTCATTCCCCGGATACATACAGGAATCAGCAGGTGGACTGGCCCACTCCTGCAGGCGCTGTGTGTTCACAGGCTGTGCAGTGAACATTGAAACCGAAGGTCTCTGCCCAGTCTGTCAACTTACTCTCAACTGTGAAATGCTTTGTGTTATTCTCTAGAGCACCAGATCCTGGAGCCTGCTTACTTTAATTTTAAATAGGCCGTTACATTTCTGTACTGTGCAACTGGAGTTTTAAAAACAAACATTCTGGAACACTCTGAAACAGGAAAGTGAAATAAAAAGAGAGAGAAAATGTATTTGTTCTTCAGAATTTCCTATTGTTGCATGAAGGGGAAGTGGGGCAGAGGGGCTTTGTAGCTAACTTCAAGAATGAGATAACTGATTATTGGTAACTGGTTATTAAGGCCAGCAAAGGCCAGCCTTGCTGCATCTTAACCCAAGCTGCATTCAGTGCCACAAAATCCTTTGGGCCCAATTTATAAGGGCCATCCTTTCATCGCTTTGTGTCTGGAGAAGCTTTGGAGGAACAATCTGCAACATGGACGTGGCACTCTTTGCTACACATCCACTTAAGTTCAAATATTCATACTCAAATCATCATCTCAACCAGTTGAGTAGTTAATGTAATACTGAGGCTGACTTCATTTTTGTAAATGGTTGATACTGTAAGTAAAACACACATACATTTTTGGTTATCCTTCACAGAGATTGCTGTCATGGGTGTTTCTCTGAGGGGAAGGGTCTTTTTCCCCACAAGATCTGTTTCGGCTAAGTAGAAAGGATTCTTCGTTCTTTGTGCTTTGGTTATGTCTTTAAGTTTGTCTCTTGTCTCATCTGTTGCATGGGAAGAGGATGGTAATGATGAACTGCATGTAGTAGGCTATATGTATCAGACCTGTTGGTATGTGCTACTAAACTGACATACATATAAGCAAATGAGTTTGTCTGCATTGTACAATTTGTGTTTATTACTATTTTGTTGTATACACCATTTCAACATATTGAATAAAATATTTATATGAAGGCATATTGATAATAAACACCACCATTTATATATATTTTTAAAATTAGATTGTGCAAAGAAACATTGCATTGGCTGCAGTATAACAAAACATCATGTAAATAGTTTGGCAAAACTCAATTCTTTCTCCCCTTGACCATGCCAAAGAAAATCTTAGCTCCTTGATATATAATTTCTTGTTGTTTTCCAGGACAAGATTCATTGTTTTGTTTCTTCTCAATTTTTTTTTTGCTGTCAAGTGAAATTTTCTTTTCAACTGTCTGTTACTTGCTAAAGAACTGTACAGTAAACCTGACGGAATCAATTTGTATTTACAGATTATGTGTGTTAATACTTCCATTTACACTGTGTGTTTGTGGTCTAATGTTCTCCCTTAGTTTGCATGTTTTGGTCTCTTACTGTATTGGCTTCAGCTTAATCCACAAGTGTGTTTCAGAGTAGTCCCAAAGAACACTGTTGTCAGTAGTTAAATTGGCTAAGGAATCAACCTGATTCAGATATGTATTTGCACACTCATTAGTTTCTTACATATTCTAGGTTTCACAATCATGTCCACAGAGGGAGCTCCATTCTGCTAATATACATATTAAATAGGTTTGTGCATTTTATCAGAACCTTGACCCCCAGATCCCTTTTTGCACACCTCCCAAAAATGGGCGGGTAGCTGAATAGCTGTTTTTGGTCTGCAGATGAAAAATGAGGTTAGATCTGGCCCATTTGCAGCAATTGGTGGTGGTAGGGGCTTCCTGGGCTCCCCTTCCTGTCATTTTTAGGGCTATCAGGATGAAAGTGACCACACTTGGAAGACACATCTACCACTGTTAGCCCACCAAGTTTCATAACGTTTGGCTCACTCCCTGATTTTTAGGAGTTTCTTTTCTTTTTAGAACTAGGTGGTCGTTTTCTGAGAATGGGGCTTTCTGTTCGTTTGCTAGAATTATTATTAATTAATTATTATTATCTTTTAAAAGTATTTTCTGAAAGAGAGAAGGGGAGGACAAAAATAAGCTAACGGGTGACTCGGGCTCAGAGCCACCCAAATATTTTTAAAGAAGCACACCAAGAGCAAAGGGATGCTCTTTCTTTCTCCCAAGTCCCCAAAAAAGCGAGTGAACCCCACCCCCCATCTCACATTTCTCCCAACTCCCAGTCCCACTAAATAAAAAGAACAAAGAAAATAAAGGAAATTCAAAAAGATTCAATGCTAGAGAGAGGCCAAGCGAAGCCAAAAAATAAAGCTGAGAGTGAGTGGCAAAGCAATCAGACTAAAGCACCTCTTTAGAGCTAGGATGCAACTGAGAGCAATGGACGCGCTCACCCCATTAAATAGACACAGCTTGTGTAAGGCATGTCACAGCGTTCTTTTATTCTGATTGGCCCAACAGGCAAGGCTCACAGGGAAATCTTGTGCATGATACCAAATAGGAGAGAGGGAGCCATGATCAGCTGCCTCGTGGCCTATTTCGGCCACAAAAAAAAAGCAAGGCGGTTGAGCCCTTACCATTACGGCCAGCCAAATAAGCCAGATTGGCTGAAGGGAACCAACCAAACCAAATCTGTGCACAAGCCTAATATTAAAGACAAAATGAAAGTGCTCTGTACACTCATGAGAACTGTCCTATATTTACCGTTGCATCTGGATGATGGACATAAGACCGCACCTTTCAGTGAAATTGTGACTGCATTCATGTAGAAGCAAGTGCCAATGAGCTCAGATGGACTTACAGTCTGTGAATCCAGGTGCTTTGTGTTTAGCTATTAAAAGCTTTAGGCTGACGCTTTGTCAACAATACCTTTCCTAAATGCATGAAGATGCCATCCCTACTGAAATACTGCATCAAGCACCATTTTAAGAACAATAGTTTTCACTAGCATGATGCCACTCTGGTATGACATTCAATGATTTGGCATATGTAGCCTCTGATTTATTTGGTAAACATTGTGAATGAGGCCTGCACAACATGTGGCCTGGGGGCTGGATGTGGCCCACACAAGAAGTTGCTGCTGCTGTCCACTCTCAGGAAGGAAGGAGGGAGGAAGAAAATGAAAAAAGGAAGAAAAAGAAGAAAGGGAAAGAGGGAGGGAGACAGAAAGGGAGGGAGGGAGGGGGAGAGAGAAAGAAAGAAAGAAAGAAAGAAAAGAAGAGAAAGAAGAGAAAGAGGGAGAGTGAAAAGAAAGAAGAAAAGGAGGGAGAAAGAAAAAACAAAGAAAGGGAGGTAGGAAAAAGGGAAGGAGGAATGCTCTTGGTTACGGCTCTGAAACTACTGGATGACTTCAGGCAAGTCACACTTTCTCAGCCTCAGAGGAAGACAAAGGCAAATGCCCTCAGAATAATGTGGTGCTAAAAGTGTTATCTGTGAATCCCAAGAGGCTAATTTCAGCCCCTTAGTATTGCCAAGTTGTGCAGGCCTGCTGTAAACTAACTATGATAAAGAAGTTTGTAACGTATGCTTTCACAGATGTGCAAACACATGGTACAAAAGCTTTGTTTATGAAAACAAAGCTTTGTTTATAGCAAAGTCTTTCTGTCAATCTCAAAGGTGAAACTGGAGCTCCTGGTGGTGCAATGTGTTAAACCCTTGTGCTGGCAGGACTGCTGACAGACAGTTCAGTGGTTCAAATCCGGGGAGAGCAGGTTGAGCTCCCTCTGTCAGCTCCAGCTCCCCATGCAGAGACATGAGAAAAGCCTCCCACAAGGATGGTAAAACATCAAACATCCAGGTGTCCCCTCAGCAACGTCCTTGCAGACAACCCATTCTTTCACACCAGAAGCAACTTGAAGTTTCTCAAGTCGTTCCTGACACACACAAAAAAGGTGAAACAAGATCTCCTTGCATACTAATCCAGGCAAACATGGCCATGACTTTGAATTCTAGCAGCTTAGTATATTCAACTCTGTACTGCTCCTGTCCTATCTCCTCTAAACCTGAAGGAAATGTCATTCAGCAATACTCCAATCCCTGGCAAAACAATTCTCCCAAGGCAGATTGTGCCTGATAAAGTTGGTTGAGGAATAGAGATACAAACATTTCAATAGGGGATAGTTGTAACCATGAAACAGTTATCTAAATGTACATGTCCATGAACTTAACAATTCAGATCCCTCCAGATGTAAGTCTACTTAAGAAGATGTAAGGTCCCGAGAGCATTCCTATCAATAGCTGCTGCTGTTTAAAAAGATGCCACTTGGATTTTGGAAAAGAATGTACTTATCTTTTGTATGATATTGAGGAAAGGGTCCTGTGATAACCTAAAGACAGGAAACTTGTGGTGGTCATTATAGAGATACAACTTGATTTCAGGGTTTGGAATATTTACTTTCTTTGGCAACAATTTATACAATCCCTTTGTCTACAAGGTCTTGTCTAGGAACTTTAGTCAAAATAAGTAATTTATTCAAAGTTTGGCATGATACTCTGGATAGGTGGATCTAAATCCATGGAAATTGAGAAGTTTAGAAACACACTGAACTACATACAACGGGGTCTGTGTTACTTCTGATGAACCAATTTCTGTTCAGGATGTTTTTATGAACAAAACCACACCACCATTACTAGTGATAGCAATAATTACTTTAGTAAACAGAATGCCTAGAAACAAACCTAATAGATGGGAAAGTACTATAACATATAAGGAAAACAGTACAACATAAAAGTAACCAAATCAGCAAAAACCTTTCTATCCATTTCTATAAAAAGAAACAAACCTATTTAGTCTATAAAAAAATCAACAAAGAATATTTTTGAAAACACTAAAGCAATGGACCAAAGCTGAGATGCTGCACTGGGAGACATGCCATTGCATTACGTCTCCCCTGACCCAAGACTCGCTTTACTCTTGCAGCAGACTATGAAAAGGAGAGGTCATTGTAGACTCATCTGGTGATGTGACTATAATCAGATGCAGAATGCCGTCATAATTTTCTGGGACCTCCAGAGGTTGACCACAAAGTTCTGGGGGAATGTTTTGCCATTCTATGTCTGCCTAGAGGGGCTTTCTCAAGGTCTGCCACCCTTCACCAGGCACTTAAATGGCCTTGGGGGGAGAAGGAGGGGTCCTGTTGAAGTTAAGCCATTGTGTGAGGGGATAGAGAATAGCTTCCTCTGGGCCAATAAAAATATGCAGTGCACAGACATTGCTTTCATGTGCATCTGGCCATGTTACTAACAGGATGTCCACCTGATACTTTAGGGATAAACTAGATTCTTTCTAGTTTATGCAAAATTCACAAAGTATGCTAGGAAGATGGTTTGGATATTATTTGAGTGACTAAGATGGGGACTAAAGAACTGGCATGTTAAATTCAGTTTGTATCCATTTATCTCCCAGCTTTCTTGCTCACAACCATCTGAGAACATCAGCTGCCTGGGGACAAAACTGGCACCATTTTCT